ACACTTACGAATGACAACTGCCTTTCATTTCTTTTTAAAAGTTAAGCTGTTACTTAGAATTAATTTTAACAAATTCCAGGATATTTTTAAAGAGTTCATAAACATTACAAAACTTTCGGTTTAATTTTACGGGATAATTCAATTACCAAGGCTGGCTGCCTCAATTATTATGATATGAAGGCAGTCTCATTTTGAAGACTCCTCAGACCTAATTTGTTGTAATTTAATTTCGCATACAACTCCGCCGACGTGAACATTCAATGAAACGAAAATAGATATTCAACACCCGTTTTATGTAAAAAAACTTCCTTCCTTTGTTTTACCCTATTCGTGTTGGTTTTATCGTATGACTTGGTTTCGACCCTCATCTTGTCATGTCATCGATTATCCTCGCTGTCAGACGACCGCTTATAACCACTACTTTTGCTTTACGTTCTTTGAATAGCCACAAATGTAGTATTTCTCTTTTGAAATGTTTTGTTCTTTATCCAAAAAAAAGTCTGACATCTGAAAACAAAATCGTTCTTCACGATTAGTTTTCGTGAAATCATCATTAAAAAAAACCTCACTAACCTTAAGACATAAAGTCTCAAATTGAAGGTATAGTACATGTATTAGTATACCTACAAAGAAGAGAACAGCAAAGTAATTTACATTGTATCTACACTAGCTATATATCGACTTTACAATCTGAATTCTTAAATTAAAAAGATCAAATTTCATTTTTGTGACTAAAAATTGAGAGTCCTGAGATTGTCTTTCGGCTTGGGCATTATTCTTATTCTGAACGAAATTGTACTGAAGACTAAACGTTATAATCAAGTTTGATTTCTAGAAAAATATTTTACATACAAATAGTTTCCTTCTTACTGGTAATAAGACGTCTTGTGAGTTCGCACGCGTATGTACTACCTCCCTGCTTATTTCTCCGTGAAGCAGCAATGGGTTTCGGTTTGAAGGGTGAGGCAGCTATTGTAATTGAGACCTTAGAACTCATGTCTCAAGGTGGGTGGCAGCATTTACGTTGTTGATGTCTATGGGCTCCGTTAATCACTTAACATTAGATGGACCGTGAACACAATGAAGAGTTACTGAGTTAAAGAGACTTCCATATGAGTTCGTTTGTCAGATTTTTTTATTTTTATTGCTTAGATGGGTGGACGAGCTCACAGCCCACCTAGTGTTAAGTGGTTACTGGAGCCCATAGACATCTACAACGTAAATGCGCCACCCACCTTGAGATATAAGTTCTAGTATAGTTATCAAACAATCAAACAAAAAAAAGATTTCTTCTATAAATTGAATTCAGAGTCGGGTCAACGTTTTCTATTACTAATTAAGAACGGAATAAATACGTCTGTCATCCAAAAAATAAAGAGTCATCAGAGTTGTATTTTCCTTTATTCAGTCCTTTTAACGATTGGTAGCCGTCAGCTGCAGGTGTAGCCGCGGGTCGTTAGGACGATTCGTAGCCGCGGCGCCTTCACGCAGCAACNTTTCTTCTATAAATTGAATTCAGAGTCGGGTCAACGTTTTCTATTACTAATTAAGAACGGAATAAATACGTCTGTCATCCAAAAAATAAAGAGTCATCAGAGTTGTATTTTCCTTTATTCAGTCCTTTTAACGATTGGTAGCCGTCAGCTGCAGGTGTAGCCGCGGGTCGTTAGGACGATTCGTAGCCGCGGCGCCTTCACGCAGCAACGTTTTCCCTAATCACCGAGCCTCTTTCAATAAACTCCAATGACACGATTTATTTCCTTCTCATTTATTAAAAAAAACTTGCCGTAGTTCACATGTTTCCATAAAAACATTGCTCGACAAAAAATCATCTTTTAAATGTACTTTTATGAACTGGTTTCTACATTCAACATACAAACTATTTCCTCCTCATAACTTATTGCTATTTCGTAAAATACTTGAATTTAAATTACTGTCACAATAAATGTGTGCACATAGAAATTAAAACGATGAATTCGGACAAATCCGCAGAATGTCAACAAAAGCTTGCGAAGAGAAATTTTCCCTTTCTTTCACTTACAATGGCATTACAGGCAGGATTTAGCGAAATGGGAAGGAAAATCACTTTGATGCGTAAATAATTGAAAGTTAGATGTAAAATTGGCAGAGCCGATTGGCGTTACGGAATCCGGAGTGAGTTTTTGGTTGTATAAATTATTGTTGTCCGTTATGTAGCTGAGTTCGATCGATAGCTCACTAATGAAGCGTGATGTGTTATGTCATGTGTGCCAAGCATCACGCGCCGCGCTGTGACCGCGCCCTCCCACATCCACACTTCTGAATATCAACCAGATGCAATGTGTAAAAATTAATCTTGTTTCCAATGAGATATAATCGATAAATAAAATTGAAAGTTTGCTTTCATTAAATTACATGGTTCATTTTGTATGTTTCCCTAACGGTACTATTGTTTGTGTGAAACGATTACGGAAACCTAATAGATATCGCACTTTTATGATTGAAGTGGCTAAACTAAAACGTTTTAAGAAAATGAATTTTATACTTCGAACGAGTTATAAACATGTAATCTATCAGTTTATAAAATTAGTCTCTTTTACTTCAAAAGAGGACAAAGGTACTCTTTGTTTCTTTTTTTTACTCCATCTGTTTTAAGTCAAGCGCATACCAATTTTTGGCGTTTACCAAAAAAAATAAGGATTTTGTATTAAGCCACTTCAGTTCTAAAGGTGCGATATCTTAACGCGAACGCCATTGCCCACTTTGAGATGTCAAATCGAATTCTCGAATTCCCAGTTATTTAACTTACATAACTTAAATAGCTTTTCAATTTTGCGGGTTTGATTTTATTATACGATGCTATCTATCCCTTCGTCGAAGAAGTTGTTCGTGAACACGTGCTAAGTATATGTATTTCCTTAGAAAATTTGTTTTCGCTTCCCACACCGAGTAAGCATTCGTGTGAACAGGTTTGTTTGCTTATTGTCTGGGTGTTTATTATCTATATTATGCATATATTTAAAACGTATATAAATATGTATTTCAGTCTTTTGTACTCATAACACAGGGAATCTTAATTTGGAGCCGGATAACCGTGCGTGATGCGTTCCCAAATGTTATAGTTATAGTCCATTTTTATGAACATTATAAAGAAAAATTGTTCATTTACCTTCTATTAATTTAATGAAACTCGAACTGATCAAAAATGGAATGAAACATTAAAACTACTCACACGCTACCTGTCTTAATTTAGTACTCCACCACCAACGATCTCTAAAATGTGAACAAAAAGTTTTAACTAAGTTGCGTGAACGACACGCGAATACGTACAAATAAACTTAATGAAATATTCATATTTGCATTAACACCCTCCTACACTACATGCCGATAACAACCACTCTGTTGAGACTGAAGAATCGCTTCAGTCTTAACAAGATTTGCAACAGATTATCAGATGTATTAGCCATAGATAACAAAGGAAAGGAAATGAACAACCTTCCAATCTCTCTCTCTCTCTCTCTTCCCAGTTATTTATCCCACATGGTGGTGGGGTCAGCTTTCCTGACTTTACTCCTCCACTTCGCTCTGTCTTCGACAACCTCGTCAGCAACATTGCATTCTCTCTTGTCCTTCAGCACTACGTCCCTCCAGCTTGTCTTGGGACTACGTGATATAATCGTGATAAATTATATTACTCGTTTTTCCATTTCAAATATGATACTTTTTAGACAATCACATTTCAATTGTTTACACATTACAATCCATTCTGGTTTATATAGGTTATCTGCTGACCGTTTCTGTATTAATTTTTATTCAATTTGGAAAGGGAGATTTTGAAGTTAATGGAGAAATTTCGGCACACGAAACGTAAGGACCGAGTAATTTAAAAAAAAAATCGGTTTTATATAAATCCGAATATATTTGCCTAATTCTATCGATATATAAAGTTATTTTTATGTATATTTTTAAAATAATTTCACTATTAAATAACACATTAAATCCAATTACAATGTAGAATTTACAATTCGAAAAGAAAACGATTATCCGACTGTGCCTAATATTGACTTGTTTTTTTTTATTGCCTTTGTAGGCAGACGAGCATACGGCCCACCTGATGGTAAGTGGTCACCGTCGCTCATGGACGTCAGCAATGCCAGGGGCAGAGCCAAGCCGCTGCCTACCATTAAGTACTCTCCGCAAGCCTCGTTTGAAAAAGGACATGTCATAGCGCTTGTTGATTAATCTCAAAAAATAAAAGGCTGGTACTATTAGTGAGCATCAGCCATCGCATTCACGGACAGTCGCGTAGAGCTCCGCCCGACAGGACATTAGTCAGACGCTATCTGATGTCGTCTGCTAATTGACTAGAAATACAGATAAAACGTTATTTTTAGTTCTTCGTAAATTTCAAAGAAACTCGATTAGTCTGGAAGCGGTAAAAAAGTTTTCATTGTTATTTTTGAATTTGTTTTATTCGAGTAACTCTGTAACGTGATGAATTAACTTTTTATGAAGCCGCACGTGTAGTTTCTATCGTCTTGCCACCAAGCGGATACGCCTCGCAGTTCGAAGGACAGTCTTTATACAATGCACTTGAGACTTCGACAAGCTCTCAACTGTCTCAAGATGGGTGCCGGCATTCGGGTAATGATGTCCAGACTCCATTAACCAATTAACATCAGACGAGTAGACGCCCGTCTGGCATAAAAGAGTTACAGTTTTTTTGTTTGTTATATAAATAAACAATTAATGAACAGAGCGTTTACTCTGCAATAACTTTGGTTCACCGGTACAGAATGCTTTAGGCATTAATTAAATAAACACGAAGTGCAATAAATAAAATACTTCTAGATACGACCAAAATTTAAAGTGATAGTAGTTAAATTTATAATAACGTAACGTGGAAGTTAACTTTAATGTTGATAATAACAAAACACGTTCAGGTTAATAACGTGTTATGAACAAAAGAGACGACAATAAAACGGCCATTTCCAAAGGCAAATTTTATTCATGGTCCAACGTATACACAATGAACGAACCCTTTCAATGTAAAATTTCGCATTGTTAAATTTAGGTACTCGCATATATTACAATATTTACAACAGGATACAACATTTCATAATTGAACACCGACGGTGATCAAGTCGCTAGGAATGCAACGACTGCAGCCATGGAAGCTAGGTTTAATTCAGCTAGAGAGTAGACATTCCGGGCAGGACCCGCACCAGCAGAAGCTCGCGCCCGTGCACTGCCACCAGTCTCCCCACGACAACCAGCGCTGCCACTCGTCGCACTAGCAAGACTTCGACCACGCACTTTTAACGGTGATATACAATAATTTTCTTCCGCAAAATCTTGACTCAACGCCAAAGGATTGGTGAATGGATCACGTCCACACTCGCACGGCAAATGATTCCCTCGGATAATAATATTCTCAACTTCTAGCACGACAGCCTCCGGGGATTCTAACATATGGTTGCCGGTTAATTTAAATACTCGCACACTATTATTCTGGACCAATGACAGCTCTTCGATACCATCGATTTTGTTGTTACATATTTCAAGCGTATCCACGTGCTGTAGTCCGTCGAATGATCCAACTTTAATGATACCTAGATCAGACTCGCGTAGGGAAAGGCGTCCGACTCGTATCAGTCCGTGGAAAGTGTCCGGGAGTAATGACGGCAAATCCATAAACGCAAGCTCCAATACGCCGATCCCCTCTAAGCCCGCGAACGCTTGTGGTTCTATAGTTCTTATCCCTGATGGTAGCTCAATTTGCCCCACGTCGTTGAGTCCAGAGAACGCATGCACCAGAATGCGTTTAATAGGATTGTTTCGTAAAGAAATTAGATTTATAAAGTTTGTTCCTGCAAATGCATAACTTTCGATCTGTGCTATCCTGTTATGCGTTAAAACTATTGAAGTTATATTTTGAAGAGCAGCAAACGCGAAAGAATCGACCGTGGCCAACGGCGTGTGCTGGATGTAAAGCTCACGAAGTCTGGGCAGGCCTCGGAATGCAAAGGGTCGAATACGTGTTAGATTACAGGCATCTAGAGCAAGACGACGCAACTGTCGAAGATGCGCAAAAGCATCAGAACGTAGAACACGTAGGTCTGCGCGCGACAGAGATAGCTGGGTCACAGAAGGGCTCAAGCCAGATGGAACGCCGCGAAGTGCAGCGCTATTACACACCACCTGCGTGAACAAAAAAAAATACGTAATAGCAAAACTCATAAATTTATTTTAATACGTATATACGTGTACTAGTGGTAGGACCTCTTGTGAGTCCGCACGGGTAGGTACCACCACCCCGTCTTTTTCTGCCGTGAATCAGTAATGTGTTTCGGTTTGAAGGGTGGGGCAGCTGTTGTAACTATACTGAGACCTTAGAACATATCTCAAGTTGGGTGGCACATTTACGTTGTAGATGTCTATGGGCTCCAGTAACCACTTAACATCAGGTGGGTTGTGAGCTCGTCCACACATCTAAGCAATAAAAAAAAGTGTATTAATTCATAAATCGACTCCATGAATTATCTGTTTCGCTGTGTCATAGGCTAAGCGCTATTTCCGCTGTTTGTGATGTCAATAAAATTAATCCTTCCTGAAATATCGGCATCGCCGTGCGCAGGCACGTAGCCATATTGTGATTGAATTGTTTCAAACTTAAGCTTCGCAAATAATCGACCAAAACAAATATCAATTTGATTCAGCCTGCCTTAAAATCATATAAAGCGATGATATTGGAGATTTCGATTCAATTAACCAGATAGGTATCGTTGTATACACAGAAAGGCAAACAATACACGTACATGAATCAGAACTCGTGTAAGCAGCTTACCTATGCATTTAATTAGCAGCCGTATAAACTACACATCTCTAATGGTACAATAATTTATTGCTTTTGCAGTGCCGTACATATTGAAACGGCTATAACTAAAGCTATGAAAGTACTACTTTGAATGTAATAACCCAGGAAGAATAATGTTTTGTTTTGTGTAGAGATTTTTTTAAACATTTAAGAGCGCAGAAAATTATATTATTTCAGTTTTATTTTTCTTCATATTGTGGTTCCAAAGTTTTCGTATAGCCCCCGAGGTTTCGTATTTATCGATTCAAGAAAAGAAAATTGGAGTTCATGAACGGGTGTAGTGGCAATGACAAATGAACGTTCCCCCAAAAATAACTATGTGCTGATTAGCGTGACCTATCTAACGAACATAAATAAAGTTACTTCGAAGTCGATATAGAATAATAAGTAGTAAATATCTTTTTTATATGTTTCTCAAAGCGAACCGAAACTAAGTCAATCAAAAACATTTAATATGCTTGTTATACCACTAAATAAAAAAATTGTCATTTGGACAAAACGTTCCGCACGATGCACATGTCCATGTGAAATTTTCCCAACGAAAACCTAAATTGAAATTTATGATACCGAGTTCTGGATACGAAAACCTAATCAGAGAGTACGTAGCTGTATTACATATTGTTTTGACGAATATACCAATTCAGAAAAAAAAACAGAATTTTAAAACGAAAAATAAAAAACATAACTAATCAATAAGAAATTACCTGAGATTGCGACAGACAAATGCAGTGAGTGGGACACGGCGGCGTCAAAGTGGCCAAAGGCGTGAACGGTGGTGTGTGAGCTTGACTCAAGCTAAACAGCATCCCCCAAGCGATCCCCGTCACAAGCCACCGCACCACCCCTCTGAGATCAAACATAAACATGACTTATTAACATTTATTGCACTAAAATATGACAATATAAAAGAAAATACAAAGGATTTCGTAACATTAGGTTTGTCCAAGTTTAAATTTCTGAAAAAATAATTTGTAATGATATTGTTCAAATTAAACAAGTCAACGGTAATTAAATTTATCCGGGCAATTGGGTGTTGAACTAAGCACCGTCAAGAGCTCCGTAATTGGAATCAATATTCACAGTTAACATTAATAGGTGAATTGTTTTTATTATTTGTTAGGATTTTTTCACTTAACCTTGACTGCGTATAGTCTGTAAATAGGCTTTTTAAAAACAACTGCCTACATAAAAGTATCTCTAAGCGGGATCTTATTCAAACTAATTCTTTGTTGAATGTTCGTTTTGAGTTCTATATCTACGCAGAATCTCAAGTTAACAGTCTTATTTAGTAGTTCGTTACTTTCATTAAGCAATATCAAATAGTTTAAATGTTTTGCTTGCCTTATTTTTTTTTGCATATATTTATGCAGACAAAGCTATTTTGCCTAGACCAGCTTAAAACTAAATAATAAAATATAAAAAACTCATAGTTCTGCATTCACTTCAAGACATAGGTATGTAAGATACAGCACATTCTAATTATTGGCATCCCTTTTGTTTTCACTATTTGAGTACACCTTTGCAGCTTTGTAGGATGGCTTACACCAGACGATCCTAATTAGATTATTATCATTCAACTCATTCTTTTTAGGTGTTGGTGGTGACCTCAACAGACTTGGCAGATTCTTAGATATTGACCTATTTTATTCCTCTATCACAGGACTTAGACGTCAGCTTAGTGCACGATTTTTCCTGGGCGATGACGGGACAAAGGGTGCGGGGCCATATGCCGGTGATGTACAGCACAACAAATTTTTATTAATTTGTGACATTTATACACAAGTGTACATTTAAATTAGTCTGGTGTTTTCCTCCTTTCCTTATGTTGTTTCTTGCTTGCTGATTGTTTTTAATTTTTTTTTTGTTTCTATGCTTTTGTTTCTCTAGTGTTTTTAATTTGTTTATATTGGTGAGGACCTTTAATTGGCTTTTTGTTTCTATTATTTGTTATATTATTATACTATGTTAGTTGGCTGTTGGTTCTCCTTATATTAAATAAATAAATAAATAAAATTATAGTCTCTGAGTTAATGCAAGGACTTATAATATGATAAAGGCTTTTCTTTTTATTTAGCTACGGATCCTTCACTTTACTTCCTTAAGGCACGTTTCACTCCCTCATCCTTGAATGCTAAAGAATTATGAATTCTCATCAAAACAGCGGGATATGTATAATTCTAACAGCTAAAACTTCGATCGAACGTCGGTGAATATTCACTTTTTGTTGTCCATCGTAACAGATCGGTGCTCGGTTGTCAATAAAACAACAACAAAACCAAAGATTAAACAAAAACAAAAATATAAAAATAAGACAAAACTATTAAAGGCCAATTCATTTTCTAATGAAATATAAATAAATCATAAGCAATTAATCAAATGTAATAAAGTTTTTTTTTTCAATGCACTGTCGATTGCACCTATAATTGAGGTGACATCTGCCATGAACTTTTGTCGGCTTTGATCTTTCTGTTGGTGCAACTTAATAAATAAATAAAGGCAAAAATATATCTATATATATAAAAATGAATTGCTGTTCGTTAGCCTCGCTAAAACTCGAGAGCGGCTGGACCGATTTGGCTAATTTTGGTCTTGAATTATTTGTGGAAGTCCAGAGAAAGTTTAAAAGGTACATAAATATGAAAATTAAATAAAAATTAAATAAAAATAACAATTTTGTTTTTCCTTTGATGTGTCCCCCGTCGGACGGATTCCTTTTGTTTGTTTTAAGTTTATTTTATACAAAAGCTTACGTCTTTTATGTATCGATTGAGGCACTACGAAGTCTGCCGGGTCAGCTAATATGGTATAGATTTACCTGAATGTAAAGGCGGGCGCCATGGGCGGGCGCATGAAGGGCGCTCCGCCCCCCGCGCGCCCTCACCTGTACACCTCCATCACACCGCAAAGGCCTGTCAACAAAATAATTAAACAGTTAATCATTGTTCTAATCCATCTTGCCTCGACCTCTAGGCCTAATCTCCGAAACACCAAATCTTTTAGCAAGTTTTAAAATGAAAGCTTCAGTTTCAGAACTAAATAATTTTCCCGGCAGGCATTCGAAGTTCCGTTATGTTCTCGAAAATATTCAGGATGATTATAAACAGATACTGTTACATTAAATAAAACACAAGAAAATTAGATTATTAGATTTGAATTAGGAACCAGTCGTTCTCATATGAATATTCATTTTGTTTTCTCATTTTGTTATCTCGCCAATTTTTGGTGAACATTGTTGTGATATTAAAAGGTAGTAAGGCATAAAGAGAACGAAATTACTATGATAGTATTACACAAAGTTGTTTTTTTTTGCCTATCTACCAGTAGATTTGTAGGACTAATTCACCTTGATTAGTGGGAAAAAGTTGACATACAATTTTGATAACCTTGTAGTACATTTTAAGACCACCATATTCTATAAAACGTTTTCGGGAAGCCACGAGAATCATTTTAGGTCAAAATTTTAAATTCCGACCAACAAACAAGTCACACATTTGTTTTTTTTGCAAACTCCGTATAGGTCATTAATGCTATGAACAGTTTGTGCGACATTGCTACCTCACTGCTTCTCTTATTTCAGAATTCCTCATATTTCTATCGCATTCATATTGATGAAAAAGGTGAAAGCAAATCACATATCAATAAACAAATGACTGAATTTGAATTTACATAAACTACTTTGCAACGGCCACGTGAGAGGGCAACTTCATATAGGTAAGACTTATTATTTATTTAAACTAACATACTTGTCAGTGATAATATAAATATATATATAGGTATATACACAGGCGACGATTAAGCAAAAAATATACAGTGTTTGCTGGTCGTATCCTAAGCAAACACACCATTTATATTGTCAACTGTCTCTCCTGTATTAGGACAAGTCGGAAAGCCTATTCGCAATTTATTCTTATCTTAGTAGTCTACGTACTAAGCCCAAATACTGAATTCTTAGTTAAGACTATGTTGTAGTTGTTGTGCATGATTTCTTTTCAGAATCCTTGAACCATTTAGCTTTAACTTTAATTAAAATTGACCACTGCGATAAAACAGGTACTGCTATGTCATCTCTAAGCCTTATGACTTGATAAAACTTTATAAAAATGGTTTTGGTCTTTATCCTCCAATACGTCAAATTACTCCTTGGCACTTCAAGCTCATACCAATGGCTTTCTATCAAAGTGCACGAATAACTCTAAAAAAAACAAGAATTATATTCAATTATATTTAAACGGAAATTGAAATGGAACTCTTGATAGGTTGCGCTTGGCAGACGTCAGTCCCACGAGAGATCTATTCATGGAATGAGTTTCGTACAATCATACTACCAGGACATTTCGAATTTATGTTGTCATCATCAACGTATGTTAGCACAGATTTACTAAACAAAACAGTATTGTCTGTTGTTCTGAAAATGCAGACAGACAACACACGGAATTAAAATTCTAAACTATTCTCAACGTCACGTTGTGTTTTCGCGTGGTACAAAACACTTTAAATAATGCCGGAGTCGCATGCCAAAAACTTTAAATTGTAGAGACATGTATTGTGCTACGCCGCGTGAAGATTTTCTCCGCCAAGAATGGTCCCCTAGAGCACCATTATGCCGCCCGCTCAGGACGCACATGCTTTAAACAAACCCGCGACTAAATTGTACAAGAAAGATATTATGAATGTGTTGTTTTAGCTAAACTTATGAAGAAACCCTTCAAGAATATTTTTATTCTCATCTCGAAATGTAAAGCTACGCAAGTAACATTACATCCGTCCTTTCATTATTTTATTGAAATTTGAGCATAGAATAATTAAGTTGAAAATGAAAATAAAACAAAATAAACAATTACTTAGTTTACTCAGTTTACTAACTGGCCTTGTGAAAACGATTCGTTTTAGTCTTTAAATCTACAATGCACTAAATTGTGTTTGAAAACAAGCATCATTATTTTCGTGCATATTATATTACCTTACCTAATATCTTCTAATTATACCTAAAGAACCGGTACAATACTCCTTAAGCTCAAGGTATGTAGTTCAATATATCATCCTAAATTTTGTGTCACTGTGTGCCGGACAAGTTTAATTGGTTCCCGGCAGCGCACGATCAATCATTGGAATAACGGGTCGCGTCATCGGAATACACGTACGAAAATTCCCGTACAATTAACATGTTCAACAATAATCGTCGAAAACATTGTTTTTGTCAACTAAGAAAATGTCACTGTCACCTGTATTGAAATGTAAATTATGAGGATTAATAAAAATTCAAGATTCGAATACTTTCGTATTCGTCGTCTTACGGGTGGTAGGTCGTCTTATGATTCCGCCGGGTAGGTACGAAGCCCCTGCATATTTCTGCCGTGAAGCAGTAATGCGTTTCGGTTTGAAGGGCGGAGCAGCCGTTGTACTGTACTAAGACATTAGAACTCATATTTCAAGGTGAGTGGCGGCATTTACTTTGTAGATGTCTATGAGCTACGGTAGCCATTTAACACCAGGTGGGTCGCGAGATCGTCCACGCATCGAAGCAATAAAAAATAAAAACTAATAAGACGTATTTGACTAGAATATTGATATACGGCAATTTCGACTTAATAGCTGATCTGTGTTTTGTCCATAGTAAACACTTAATCCTCAAGAGGGTTACGTCGACGCCTTGTACCATTTCCCACATAAATTTAAGTCAAGTTAACGTTTAATGTTCCATTTATAACCGATTCCATTTTATTACAGTGTACACAACCTTTTTTTATCAAATTGTTACGTAATAAATAATAAGAATAAAACCCTTTTCATGAGTAGAGTTCTACTGTATCCGTTAATTTACGCTTGAATTCATATTTACACAAGCAAACTCGACGTTTCTGATCAGAAATAAACAATAATATGGAGTAACTTTTCATGTTATCATATTTATATGCTCACAGATTAAAATATAATATTCATTTATTACATTTAATTTGATTATTTTTATTTTATGATACGACGTGTTCTATTATCGTATGGATAGGTACCACAGTCTTGTCTACATTAGTAGATATTAATCGCGAAGCAACAATTTTACTATTGCGAATAAGATTTAATGTTTTAAGGTAAGATTAATATGTGCTCTGGTAATGTTCAAGAACCAGTCTTTAGTCGATCTGAATCTATTTGCTTATAGCAACCGTTTTCTGCGACAAACCATATAATATTATGTATCTTGTTTTCTAAAATAAGTGTCACTTATCTTCCTCGACGGCCACGACAAATTTCTAATCTGTTGAACCCATATAGGAAACTTAAGTAAATTTCCAAGATCTGCAACGTCTTCTTGAGTTAGCTTTTAAATGTAACATTTTTGTTGAACAAATCGATACTTGAAATAGATCTCAGTGACACAAAGATTGCACTGTAAAAAAACAACTGCGCTGTTCAATTGCTTTTTAAATATTGTGACAGCTTCACAGGATTGCTTCTGGAGGTATTCACCCGGGCACCATTCTCGTCGAACACGTCGCTGACGACGAAGCGTTCGGCGAGTAAATTAACCCATAGACACAGCCCACTGAGTTTCTCGCCGGATCTTCTCAGTGGGTCGCATTTCCGATGCGGTGGTAGATCTGCGAAGCACTGCTCTTGCTAGGGCTGATGTTAGCACCGTCCTCAGGTTAGAGCTCCGTGAGCTCACCTACTCGCCCGGAGAAAGTATAACCCCTCGAGGTGACTAGACTAAGTACCTAGGAACCAAAAATTTTAAAAAGGAGGCATTCACCTTGTTTTATCAAGTAAAAATGCAAACTTTCATCTGGTGTTTAACGGAGACAATAAACCCAATAATAAAGTGACAGTAAGCGCCGCGTGAAATATAATTATACGCAATCATTAGCATGGATATGACCATCAGAATTACTGATTAGATCTCATCAATCAAGCACACGCTCGGAAATTAGAAGTTTGAAAAAACGGTATAGAGAATAACATGAAGGGGAAAAGATTATCAGACAAAATAAGAACATCAACAATTAAAAAACAAATTCAAACAAAGGATGTCCCAGTTACCATAAGGAAAGTTAAATGGGAGTGGGCGGGGCATACTCTAAGAAGGCCGGAGAAATGGTGTAAAACTATAATGTACCGGTATCCGAAAGACAGAAAAAGAAACCGAGGTATACCATTTAGAAGATGGGTGGACGACATTAAAGCAGTTTCGGGCAGCACATGGATCAGAACAGCTGAAAATAGGAGCTTATAGAGGCAGTTGGAGGAGGCCTGTCTTTAATAGACAAACAGACGAAAAAAATATATAATAATTAAAGTAAAATCAATAAATAATAATAATTTATGAATACAATATTTTCCATTGAAATTAAATTAATATTAATACCACTACTTAAAACATATTCAATAATTAACAAAATGAAATAATAACTGTGCATGAAAAAAAAATTATTTTGTCTGAATAAAGGCTTTATGATTTTGTATTATTATTATTATTCCCAGCAATCAACCTTTACCTCAGTGGACTTATAACCGACATAAATAAGGTCCTTATCAAGAATTTTTAAGAATACAGATTAAGTATTTATTCTCATCACTAAATACTAAGGTATAAATAGACAAAGACAAACAAGGTGGGTGGCGCATTTACGTTGTAGATGTCTATGGGCTCCAGTAACCACTTAACACCAGGTGGGTTATGAGCACGTCCACCCAAAAAAAAAAGCTCCATAGGTAGTTTTTTCCCACAAATTTCATTTTATTTTTTTTGTATTTTACAAAGTTTTAGAAAGTCTTTTACAATATTATAACACAAAAGATAAAAGCCATTACATAAGTAAATATTAATTTTGAGGTTTCAATAACTACAATCAAATATCAATCATTGAAATACGAATCCACAAACGAAAAAAAATAATTAAACTCACC